TGTGTTTTAAAGTGCAGTGGTATGTCAAAATGGGTTTTACTCCTAAAAGTGGGTCAGTAGTCTGCATTTGGTTCCTAAGCAGTTAAGAAGGTTTTGTTCTTTTTCAGCCTGTTTTTACATCACAGCTAAAGACACAGGAATTACAGAGATCAAAGATTAAGAGGTCTACGTAGAACAAACTCCTCTAGATAAATTGATCCTACCCAGGGTAGATATACTGATAAAACTGAATTGAAAAAAACCCCATTGTTCTCCCTACAGTAGATTATAAAAATCACTCACTGGCTGCCATTCTCCTGTGTTGTCAATCTTGATCAGTTCAATGACTTTAGATTCATAAAACATGCAAACATTCAAATTCAGAGTACAATATCCTAGATATACAAACTCCTGACATGATTCTCATTTAATATGTTCAGAGAATCATAAAAGCTGTAATGCCTGAACATGACAATCATGTCTGATCCCTACCTTTTCACACGTGCTGCCAGGCAGTTTCCCCACTGAAGTTAATATGTCAAAATTCAGCTGGTGTTAAAACTTTACCTGAGGACTGCATTTTTTACCAGTGACAGCTCAGACTTGTTACTGTCAATAAATATATTCTATCTAGCACAGACCTTGGCTGTGAAGAAAGTAGAAAGAAGCTTGAACAAACATTTCTAGACCATATAGAGTATTCCAGAGATGTCCCCTGTGCCTTTCCACAAAGGTACAAACACTTTTCATTTGAAAACACCTTGCCTGATCTATTCTAGGATAGCCCACACCCTATACCATGGTTTCATGGTTACACTATAGTGCTGAATTAATCTTTCTGTGATAAACTAAACCACTCCAGTATTAGCTTCACTTTGAACTTATCAGCTCCCTAAGTAAAACAGGAACTCATTTGTAATGCCCAATATTATTTTGCAAATTATTTCTATTAGCAATCTTATATTCCACTACATTTTTATTACTTGAGATTGTCCAGTTTACTGGCAATGATTTTCTGATATTTTTCACTTTTAAGAATATCTTTAAATATACTATACTCCAAGATAGGCACAGCAGACTTTTTCTGAATAATTAACATTAAAAGTTCAGATAAGCATTATATTTAAAAAGAAAAAGAAAACAAAAAAGGAAAGAGAAGAATCTGGTAGAAGACAGGAGGCAAGGGGATTTGCCAGGTCATTCCAAGGATAAACAACTCTGGTCATCGCCACGCTTTAAGAGTGATGACATTTCAGTTATTGATGAGAGAGTCTGCCCTAGGTTAATTCTTCTCTGTTTTGAGGGAAAAACTCACACAGAAGTCAAATCAAAATCAGAAAAGTGATTCTGTATAAACAGGACGGGAATTTGTATTCATTCCCTCTGTGCAAAGGGAGCTGTGTGTGCTTAAGCTTACACACAGCACATTCTTCAGACAATTCAGACCAGAGCCTTAACGTCCTATCTGGTTCTTTTTCTACCCCATTTTTATGATGTTTTACTTAACTGTAAGTACAGTGTTTGTAAAAGGTGTTGGATTAACAGCAGCACAGACAGAAGTTCTCTTTTGTGTTCAGAACAGATTTTGTTACAGTAACCTTATCCCTCCCATCCTGACCTTTAAGAGGCTCCCAATAAAGAATAGGAGGTATAACCCAAATTTCTGAAAATTTCTATCTGATTAACATGAAGGTTCACAGTTATCAGTTAGACCAAGGCAAAAGTCCATTTCCTCAGTTACAGAACTGAGAAAATATATAAAAATTAGAACAACAGCAATTCTCTGACTAAGTAGGTCCCATCAAGGTAACAATTGTATTTTCTATGGTGTGTTTGAAAGAGGGAAAAAATGGTATTGGTAACACTAAAAATGTAGCATCAACCACTATTGGAGATAAGAGGCCAGACAAGCATTTTAATAATCTAAAAATTTAAGTGCTAGCTACTGTCTTTGTTGGATACTTGCAACTTAGAACAGGTTTGATGTCTGCAAAGAGGAGAGACAGGGGAATGCAAGGTGACTTCTAGAGCTGAGGCTTAGAAAATATCAACAGAAACTGGAAACAAGGAATTAGAGAAAAAGTTCTGCCATAAAGCTCCAGTCACAGTCCCAGTTTCATTAACCTTTACTCATAAATAGAAGTTTATGGCATGCTGAGGAGAGAGATTCAAGACTGAACTCAGTGACCACACTGAACATCAGTTCAGCAGGTGAGTTAATCTACTGAGCAAGCTGGAGCAGGAAGTAAGAGTACCTTCACTACATACTAGCAGGAGATACAAAGACTTGTAAGGGCCTGAACAAAGGCAATAAATGTAAAGCAAGATCAAGCTTATTGGCACTCAATGGCAGTGAAGGGATTCCAGCTCTGCTCCCAGCTGCAGAAGATTTACTCAGTCACGTAGTTATGATTCAGTTTTCTCGGTTATGAGCACCTGGCAAGGGCACTGCAGAGATCAGTCTGAAAATGCTTTTGCATAGTAATTTGAAAATATAACGTAATTGGAGATGGTTAACTTGTAACTGGTGTAGGCTAGCAGCAACCAAGGAACAGCCTCTTCTGAGAGTGGGCTGGTGAGTCAGTCAAAGACACCTACCAGAAAACCTACCTCTGCCACCAGCCTCAGCAGGAAGACTCAGTGTAACTTCAAGACTGAGTTTGCCTCTCTGCCTCACAGATGTCCCTGCTTCTGTGTTTAGGATGCTTTTAACTACAGGTGAATGAGTTTGAAGCTTGTACAGCTGCTCCTACATTTTGTCTGACAGTAGGATAATCCTCATTAAGAAAACTTTAAGTTGTTATTAGAGAAATGAAAGAGAAGAGAACAAGATGAACTATTTCAAGGTTTCTTCTGGTCTTTTCTATCTGACCAGGAGCCTTTTCATTTCTATTTAGATTCCTATGTTACAAATTGATCAATGTTTTATAAGCACCTCAGTAACTGAATTTTGTTCAAGAATAATGGAAACATTTCTCTCTAAAGCTTTCCTGTTAAGAGGAGAAGGCCATAAATCCAGTCCCATTTAATGTAGACAGCGTGCAAGTGATGCCTATATTGGATGACCAACCCCCAAAAGTTCATTAAGAAGGAAGCTTGCTGCAAAGAGAGACATGAACACTCAAGTGAGGCAAGTAAGTCACCTGGTGACGTCTGAGCTCCAAACACTTGTTAATGGACCGTCACTATTTTTCTGGCATCCTTTCATTTGGCCTTTTTCTGGATTAAGTCAGTATCATACTATGCTGATAACCATCTGTTCTTGCTACAGCTGTGCCTTGTGTCCAGTTTCATACTGTTTTCATGCTATTCAAGATTATATTGCTACTTATGCTTGTATAGGATGTATGGATAAGCAAAAGACTTATGTCATGATGGTCATCAGTCGACAGAGTTTTAATCAGAGAAAACCCCATAAGGTTATTTATGTATTTTTAAGGATGATGTTTGTAAATGTGCATGGAAATTTAGAGCCATAACAACATTGTGTCCTGATTCAAAATATTCAATCAATAGTTGAGGCGAGGCAAGTCTCTGAAGTAAACTGTGCATCCTAGGAAATAAACCACTTCTTTAAATGGAAGGGTTTGCAGAATTTGAATATGTGCTTCTGCAGTCTTTTCATGGCTATTTTTTCAAAAGAAGCATAATGGAGAACCACAAAAAATTAATCTCACCTGAAAAAAATCTACCTTCCTATAAAATTTCCTATTTTTTTTTTCTTGCATGACTCCACACCATCACTTTTATCCTAAAAAGAATGATAAAAATATCTTTTTGTGCTTTTACAGAATTGCCTTTCCATTTGATAAGCATATTATATAAGAAGATGGCTCAGAACAAATACACACTTTACAACACTTCCAAGAGCCATCTCCCAGTGAAGTTACAGCCAAATATCTGTACATTTTGAAAGAACTGCTTTACTAATATGATAAAAAATGGAAGGTATATAATTGCAATTCCCATAAATATAAAACATCATCCTCACTCCCCTTGGCTCTCTTCCAGCCCTTCTCCCATCCAGCAAGTACCAGGGTTACTTCACTATCATAATTTTGGAATGCTTATTCAGGGCTTATTCATATGACAGTAAGCAGAGCAAGATAAAACAGCTGGTCTGTAACCAAGGACACAAGAAAAGTTATGTCTGGCATTAGTCTGAATGAGATAAGAGGGTTTTGTTCTGTTTTGTTTCACTGAGAATGAGTCACCACAAACTCATGTATTTGAAACACTTTACCTGCACACTTTACCATTTTACCAGGAAAATTCCTGCCCAACAGCTCACTTAGCACAGCTTGAAAGCTTCAGCCCATATTTAAATCCTGAAGTCAGTTGTCCTCCAGATACTCAGACCCCTGAGCTGGAGGACATGGATGTGGAGCAGAATGAAGCTCCCATAACCCAAGGGGAATGCCCAGTGACTTGTTTTGCCACCTAGACACACACACAGGTCTGTGGGGCCAGGTGGGATCCCCCTGGGGGTACTGAGGAGCTGTCAGAAGAGCTCACTGAGGCACTGCCCACCAGTTACCTGCAGCCCTGGTCACCCAGAGAGGTCCCAGCCGACAGGAACCTGGAAAACGTGGCACCGTCGAGGGCCAGAGGAGGATCTGGGAACTACAGGCCTGAGATCCAGACCTTGGTGCTGGGGATGCTCATGGAGCAGACCATCCCAAGTGTCATCACACAACACACACAGGACAACCAGGGGACCATGCCCACACAGCATGGGTTTGTGAAAGGCAAGCCCTGCTTGACCAACCTGATCTCCTTCTATGACAAAGTGTCCTGCTTAGTGGATGAAGGAATGTCTGTAGATGTCATCTACCCAGACTTTAGTAGAGCTTTTGACACTGTTTCCCACATTCCCACTGTTTCCCAGCATTCTCATGGAGAGACTGGCTTCCCATGGTGCAGGTGGGTGCACTGGTTGCTAGGTGAAACACTGGGTGGCCGGGCCCAGAGAGCAGTGGTGAATGGCACTGTGCCCAGCTGGTAACCAGCCACCAGTGTTCCTCAGGGTTCAGTATTAGGGCCAGACCTATTTAACGTCTTCATCAATTGTCTGCACAAGAGGATCAAGCGCACCACCAGTCAATTTGCAGGTAACAACAAGTTGGGCAGGAGTGTTGATCTACTGGAGGGTAGGAATGCTCTGCAGAGGGACCTGGACAGGCTGGATTGGTGGGCCAGTTACATGGTATGCAATAGGATGAGGTGCTGGGTTCTGCACTTGCATCACAACAACCCAGGCAATGCCACAGGCATTGGGAAGGGTGGCTGGGAATGCTGAACATGATCCTGTAGCCCAGGTGGCCAAGAAGGCCAATGGCATCTTGTCCTGTATCAGGAACTGTATGGCCAGCAGGACCAGGAAAGTGATTGTCCCCCTGTACTCGGCACTGGTGAGGTCACACCACAAATCCTGTGCTCTGTTCTGGGCTTCTCCTTACAAGGATGACATTGAGGTGCTGGAGTGTGTCCAGAGAAAGGCAACAAGGCTGGTGAAGGGTCTGGAGCACAAGTCTGATGAAGAGTGCCTGAGGGAGCTGGATTTGTTCAGCCTGGAGAAAAAAAGATCCAGACCAGACCTCACTGCTCTCTACAACTCCCTGAAGGGAGGTTGTAGGTGGGTAGAGGTCGGTCACTTCTCCCAGGTAGCATGTGACACAGCAAGAGGAAATGGCCTCAAGTTGTGCCAAGGGAGGTTTAGACTGGTTATTAGGTAAAATGTCTTCACACAAAGGGTTCTCAAGCATTGGGACAGGCTGCTCAGGGAAGTGATGGAGTTTCCACCCCTGCAGGTATTTAAAAGACATGTAGATGTGGCACTTGGGGACATGGTTTAGTGGTGGACTCGGCAATGCTGGGTTAATGGTTGCATTTGATGATCTTAAAGGTAACAACCTGTATGATTCTGTGATTCTAAATTCTCTTTCTTGAAAATACCACAGGAAAACACTGACTTGTTATAAAATAACATTTCTATATTCATTTTTCCTCTGAGAATTTCAAAACATGTTACAGAGATTAACACAATACTATGAGTATCACAAATCCCTTGAAAATTATAAAATAAACAAGGCCCCTAGAAGTTGCCCTACTATATCTGGGCAGTGTCTCATTTAATCCAGCACCGTGCCTCCAATGGACAAGAACAAAAGTTAAATACAGCATGGCAATGTATTTAACCCTACCAAAGACAGCTGAGAACTCATGAAAAACAGTAACCTTAAACCCTGCTGTCTCCAGTTCAGAAAAGAAGGATAATTATATACATTGGGGTAACTGAGCAGTCTGATAGTTTCTAGTGCAGCCCTGTTGGTTTTGGCCCAAACTCAAAGAGTCTGCATGTTTGTGTACGAATTTCAGGAAAAAAAATGTCATGGCTAACTATTTATAAGAGTGCTTAAGGAGAATGAAGAATCAGTATCCATAAAGACAATTCCCTTCATGAAGGTATTTGTGTGAAACAATTAACTTTTCCCATGTATCTCACATGTTCTTATGCCACTGTGCTGCTGTTGAAATTGTACAGCTCAGTCCCATCTCAGCTAAAAGACTCCTGCTGTTGTCCATGCTTATGGGTTTTGGTGACATAATGAATTTAAATGCAGACTGGAAATCTCTTTCGGCCCTCCCCCAAGTGGTGTTGTTTCTGTCCTGAAGGAAACAAAAAACAGAACCCTGGCTTCTAGAAGGAATCAAAATAGCAAAGTTCATCTGTTTGTTCAGAAAGCTGTTCCTATTCTAGTAATAAAGCAGACCTAACTGATTTTCAGGCAGGCAGGACATCCCAGAAATTTCATTACTTTGCTGAACTGGCTGCTCTTATTAATGTTCACCAGACATAGGAAGGGTGGGGTGGAAAAAGGGATAGTTGGCTGGAAAATATCTACTAGACAAACAAAATAAAATTTTTACTTAATATATAAAAAAATGCCAACTGTGCAGAAATTCTATGTTCAGTTTCCTAAGGCTTGTAACATACTTGCTCTGCCACCTGCTGCCCTGGCATTCCCAAGGTTTTAGGAACAGGGACTGTGTCCGTGAGTTTTCCCAGAAACAAATACTGCATGACTAAGAACAAGCATCTAGCAGCCCAGTGGGCTGTCCAGGAGATACCATAGCTCCAGAAAACTGCTTGCTCAAATCTTCCTGAACAATCACATTATCACTCTGTGTTTTTAAGGATACCATCCTTGACCCAGTGCTTCTCAAGAGGTGCTTTTTCTCTTGATGGGTGGGACTCTGCAGCGAGGATTGGCACGCTGGCTCTACTACCCTGGAAGTCAGATATAATGTGGGAAAGTGTCTCAGACTGTCATCACTGCTCCAGCTCCTCCAGGGAAAGAAAGAGAGAAAGTAGATCCAGAAAGAGAACATTCTGGAGATCAAGTGACTGACTAAAGAATGAATTCTACCTTTTGAAAAAACAAATTGTATCCACTGTGGAAGGAAGAGGGAGGTGCATGCCTGGTGGAAGTAAAGTCAGGTGACATGGGAAGAATATAGAAATGCTGTTAGCCATGGTAGGCTGTTAGCCATGGCAGGGGGAAATTGGTGTGGTCAAAGCTCAATTGGAGATAAAGCCGGCCAGATAAAGCAGGCCAGAACTGTGGGGGACAATAAAAAGAGTTTTTTTCAAATACGTTAATGGCAAAAGGCAGTGTAGAAATAAAAGCATCCCATTACAGGATGAGGACTGTCAACCTCATAAACAAGGATGTGGACAAAGCAGAGGTGTTTAAATGCATTCTTTGCCTCCATCTTCAACACAGATGATAGGCCACAGGGGCCTCTAGCCCTGAGCTAGAGGACCATGACTGTGAGAATGTTCAATTCCCAGCTGACCCTGAAATTGTGTGGGATCTGCTGCTTCAGCTGGATCCCTACAAATCTATGGGCCTGATGGGACTCATCTGAGGAACTAGCTGATGTCATCACAAAGCCTCTCTCAATGACTTTCAGCAGTCTTGGGAATCCTGAGAGGTCCCACCTGACAGGAAGCTGGCAAACATTATCCTGATTTTCAAGGAGGCCAAGAAGGAGTACCTCAGAAACTACAGGCCTGTCAGTCTCAATTCAGTGCCTGATAAAATAATGGAAAAGATTATTGTGGGAAGTACTGAAAAACACCTGGAAAACAACAGGGTCATTGATCACAGGCAGCATGGTTCCATAAGGGGAAAGTCCTGCTTGTGGAGCCTGATTTCCTTCTACAACAGGGTAACCTACCTAAATGACCTAGGAAAGCCAGCAGATGTAATTTTCTTGGACTTCAGCAACGCTTTTGGTGTCCTTTTGGACAAATAGGGCACAGAGATAAACACATCATGCTCTGGTGAGCAGCTGGCTCACAGGTCAGGCACAAAGGGTTGTAGTGATGTAGGGGTGACATCAGACTGGTGACCTGTCACTAGTGGAGTTCTGCAGGCCTCCATCCTCGGCCCTGTGCTCTTCAGCCTCTTCATTAATGACTTGGGCACAGGATTCAAAGGGATACTAAGTTTGCCAATGGCACTGAATTGTGAGGAGCTGTTGACTCCCTAGAAGACATGGAGACCTTGCAGGGAGACCTCGATAAATTCAAGAGATGGGCAATCACCAATCATATGAAGTTGCTGTGATTTTATGGAAACACAGCTTATTCCTTATACAGTATTGATTCTGTAAGGTTACAAATGTGGAAAAACAGGAAAAACTTAGTTTTGAAACTATTCTTCCCCCAAAATTCTGGACCAACTTTGTGCTTTCAGTAATTTCCTGGGGCAAAATTTCACTTTAGAACCAAGACTATAGACAATCACAGCTTTTTGGTTGTTTTTTTTTAAAAAAAATTTGTTTGGTTGGTTTTGCTTTTTGTTTTGTTTTCTTTTTTGAAAATACATTATGAGAATTTATAAATGTGATTACTGACTTTTGAATCTTCATGTTAAGCTTCCTTAAAAAGCGCTGGCTTTCAAAGCACTGATATCTAATACCTCCTGGCAGAACCACTTTACGATGACTGAAATGGCATCTCAAGAACTGAGGCACCTTTATTCACAGCTCATTTCTGAAAGCGGGTATAAAGCAATTATAAAGGAGCATATGTGTGTAAAATGATGGTAATTTGATCAATACAGTACTGCCTGCGACAGGTAGGGTAACTCTAGATGCCTTCCTCTAACTGGAAACTGCATGTCTAGCTGAAAGACTTCTGAGTTCAAGAAAGAGAATTTATCTGAAAAAAGGACACACGTATCAGCAACAGGAAAATACCTACAGGACATCATGGATATATCCCCTTTCAGTCATGGACTTCACAGGTGCATCACTATTTATATCACAGTTCTGTTTCAAATTACTTTGGTTTTAATAATATATGCTAACATTTACTTTAAGGGTGTTTTCCTTTGCTGTAGCTTTAGTTCCTTTGCTTAATTGAAACAGAACGAACCCATAGCTTCACTTGTAAGCAAGGTGGTGCACTGATAAATCCAGTCAGTAAGAGAGGAAAACTCTGCTAAGCATACCATAATTTTAAAGGCTTGAACACAACTTTTCATACACTTGCGATCTATTACTTCTCAAACAAAATCAGGAAATAATCAGTAATATCTGAATGTTCTTTAGGAAAACTGCTCCCTTTTTCCACCACCAGAGGAATGTTCTTAATCCATTTTAGCTGCCTTTGTGCATCATGAACTAGCACAGAGCCCAGTTTCTGCCCTTTACCCTCTGCCAACAGCACCTCTCATGTAACTCTGAAGTGATCCAGGAAATTTATGAACAGCTTTGTATTTTGCAGAACTTTTTGTATTTTTGTAGAAAAGGAGAACTCATTACAGACCAGAATAAGAAGCAGTACATAAGAACATTTCTACCACCAGCAGCAGTAAGAGCATATTTCTATTCATAGCCTTTAGAAGTGAGTACATAAGATGCCTTTTCTGCCTGCATCTGACACACTTAAACTTCTACCCCAAAGTCCAGAGGACTACAGCTGCTTCAAGGTGTCCACTACTTGAAGAAACAGGAGTGCTATCATTATAATTTTACTTCTAATATATAATTTTTTAATAAAACCAGATGGCTTCCTCTCCTCTGGCTCTGAAGACTGCAATCTAAAAGCAAGAAACTTTGTGTTGTGACAGTAAACCCAGGAGCACCAATTTGAATGCATGCACATGGGTAGTAATGGTATAGGAGAAAGATGGTACAAATATCATGTAGCAATTCTTCTGACAGCTCTCTACTTTAACTGGCAGAAAATCAATAACATTAAGACTGAGGGTCACAGCCTTTGGAAAGAGTTACATCAATGCAAAAACAGAACAGACAAAGCCAAAAGAGATTATAACCACAGATATCCCAAGGGACAGATGAAATCATGCATTATGATGTTTTTAAAAACAAAAGAATGTCGTTCCCTCAATCATACCCCAAATGTCTTGTCTCCCAGTTTTTCATAGGTTTTTAAATTAAGAGGTGAAGATTGCAGTAAAAGATGCTACTATGTTTCACTTAAAAGCATAAAATCCCTCAGTGAAAAGAGTAACTATTCTTCTACTTCTCTGGGAAACTGGTACCATAGTTACTGCTCAATGTTAAGCTTGCTGGTGCAGGCAGCAAGCTTGTACTCACAAACAGCAGTCAGAAAACAGAGTGCTCCCTGTCTTAGCAGGCACAGCTGAAACTGGGCACAAAGAGTGGACAAAATGACAGCAAAACAACCATGGCAATGAAAAGATCAGGTTTCTTCTCCTGTCCTAAAATTCCTTTGCAGGAAAGCACTTTACCTTTAATCTCCACAAAGCAGAATGCACTAAAAGGCTCAAGAAACTTGTATGTCTGTACCAGGTGTGACTCAGAAAGGCCCATCCTAACACACAGAGACACTCCAGTGCTGGTCATCTCTCAAACCCAGAGAACACTGATGGACCTGCACCCAAAATAAGCGATTGGGCTCTCGAGTGCCATGTTCTCAACACATGTAGCTTAACCAGAGAGGCTGAAGGACACAGCCCATCTGTCCAAGCACTGCTGGTGTAGCTTTATTTAAATTCTCTTTTTTGTTGTCAAGTTCTCACCTGTCTTGTTGGCAAGTCATGGTATTGTAGTATGAGCCTGGTGTTGACGCTGTGGCTCCACGTGTTGCCAAGGGCTGCTGTCACACAACCAGAATCCCTCTTCCCACTCACAGAAGATCCTGAAGATAAACATGATAGAAACTGCATCAGGACTGTGGCACAGAAAAGTGTTCAGCATTGAAACTTGAAGTCAGACATCTTAGATTATTTCCTAAGCTAGGTAATTACAAATAGCACTGAAGAGATGGCACTGCATTAATTTCCTTTCTGATGCTTTTCTACAACTGTAGTGTGAGCTCTCTATCTCACCCTCTGATATCAACAATGAGTGCCAAGAATTAAGGAGATGTTGCAAAGTATTACCTACCTTCTTGGAGAGACCAGTATATTTTCTAAATATCTAGGGGTGAACCATGCCCGTGGGACACTTGCCTACTCCTCTTTAGCTACTCTATCCCCACACAAATCAGCTTTCTCTGAGCACAGAGGAGAGGGAAGCAGACCAGCAGAGTCACAGTCTATAATGACATAACAAACAGGGAATCTAAAAGAGCAGAATGTGTTACCACAATACTCTGACCTAAAAATCAGAATACTGATTCATGCCATCAGACATCTACACTTATTTCTAAGATTTGAAAAGAAGAGAGCCCCTTAGCTGTAATTACCATTCTGCTGTCTCTGAAATAATTTGAACTTTATATAACCCTGAAGGAAAATGGATTTTGCTGGAATCAGCAATGACAACATAAACAAGTGTTTCCAATAATGCCACATGATGCAGCTTGCTTAACTGCCATTGCACTCAGCTTGCTCAGGCTGAAACCAGAGACCCACACATGCACACGTTCACATACACAGGCAGGCAGGTGCCTGAGACCTTCGTCTTTACTCATCATAAGTTCTCTGCAAGGTGAACAGATTGATGGGTGCCTTGTTTGCACTTCAAATGACACTTCAAGAACAGAGTGAGACAGACATACCCCTGAAATTCAGAAATAAAATCCTAGTTGTTATGTGGGTATAAATGATCATGTGCAATTTCAAAATTGAACTGTTTGAGGTAGACAATCCATACTGTTAAAAAGCCATGAGTGAATGAGACACAGTTAGATTTGAAGTCAGGTAACTTCCTGTCATCTATCAGGCAACAAACAAGATTGCTTTCCCAGGACAGTTATGAAATCCTTGTCAACTAAGTCACTGAAAGTTAGAGCAGACACTGTAATAAAGCTGTCTTATGTTTCCGTTGAAATGATCTGTAATGCAACAGTTAATGTTGAAATCTAAATTATAAGTACTAACAAATTGACTGTACTGAGATGACAGTCATCTTGTAGCCCAGCAGAGTTTCTGAAAGGTTTGGGTTCAAAACACTTCATTACTTTTACATCTGCAAGGAAGTGGGCTTTGTTACTTCCCCCCTACCTGCCCTTCTAACTATTCACAGCAAGAGCATAGTTTCTTGATTCACTAAAGCTTTTATTTTAGAAAAATACCGTTAAAGAATAAGACCAAAATGTTGGCATGTAATCATTATTTATATTGCTGCTGGTAGTTGCAAGAAATGAGAAGAACACCTCTGCATTAGGTAGAGGACAGCAGCAGGTGGGAGAGAAGGGCCTGGAATGATTGCAGTGCACTACAGGATGCAGCCGAAGACCTCAAACCTTCCCCAAGTAATAAAAGGTTCAAATAACATCAACTGGATTTGGATTAGGTCTTTAGAAGTTTAAGGTCTACAAAAGAAAGGAGTGAGGCACCAGGTTCAAGCCAATAGTTTGACAAGAGTCTGGACTCCGTACTTGTCTGAATTACTTCCCACATCACAGGAGCTCACTGGGACATGCACAATAGCATGTTCTCCAGAACACCCCTTTAGTCTGAACAGTTGTGCCAGCAAGGATGGCTTCTTTCTTGTACTTAAAAAAAATAAGTAGCAAACTTCCACCTGAATAACTCACCAAAGCATCTAACTAGAACCTTCAGTATTAGGAATGCTATTCTGTTAATTAGTCTAGACCAACTTTGTTGGGAAGGTAGATGTGTTAAGGAGAATAATTTATCTTCATCTATGTTTTGGATTTAATTTTCCAGCTGAAGGAGTGAACACTCTCAAGTGTTAAAACAGGGTGCTGGGAGGTCTGTGTTCCATTCCCTTAAAATGACCCAAAGCAAGTTACTTAATTAAGTTCATTAAGTTCTACAAATTTCTGGGTTTGTGCTAACACCACAGAAGTAAAATGCTATTACTGTACAAACAGGATAATGGAGTATAAGACAGTGAAGCAGCTTTAAAGTTTCGCAAACCTTTCATGTGGAATAAGCTGCAGTCAACACAGTCCTTCTCTCCTTACCCTGTTAGAAATGAGTAAGAATCACAAAATTCAAGTGAGGCCATTAAAAATGAGTTCTGGTGGGTGTGGAAGTGTTCCCCTCACAACTGACGTAACTGTACCCCAGTTTAAAGCCGGGAGCCACCATTCCACACCACCAAGAAACAATTCAGCACCCCTGCTTGTGGGCCCCTCACTACAAAGGGCCCAGATATTCCAGAAGTAGCTAGTGCTGGCATAAAACAGCCACAAAATTCACATCCAAACTTTCCTCAAATCATGTATCTGCTATTAGGTAACAGAAGGAGTAACATCTTGCTGTCGCAATCCTAAACCAGGCATTAAATGGTTAAATGCTTGGAATCTGCTGCTATTACACTGTGGCGATATCACTTCATAGCAATTCCTAATTCTGCATTCCTAATGGCTTCATAAATTCCTAAATTTAGGCCTAAAACCCGTCCCAAAGTGAACAGAAATGCTATATTTGTATGTTTTGTGGCAGAACAAGCTAATTGCTGTAATTTATTTTATTTTCTTATACAGGAGGAAAGCACACTGTACCATACTGTGTCAGCCCCTATCTGAAGAGGGCAAATCCTCTTCTAATTAAAATTTATAAAAATTAATGACTTATCATTTAAAGTTATTAAAATTTATGACTTTGGTGCAAAGTAGCTGGCAAACCTGGAGCAAATTTACAGCAAAGACTTTTTGCAAGGCGGAAGGGAATGTCTCACTGGAAAGATTTCCATTTTATAAGGGATCCTCCTGTGAACTGATGCATTAGGCAGATAGAGAGGTAAAACAAGAAGTGAAGCAAACAGGAGGAAGCAGTGCCAGCTTTGCAAAGAAGTTCAAGGGCAGTGACAACATATGCTGCATTCCTTCTTCTTGCTCTAAACACAAAAAGATAGTAAATGTCTCAGAGGAAGGAAAGAGGATATGTTAAGAAAACAGATTTATGTTGAAACATGGCCTTAAAAAAACCTTGGACTTAATCTTTTCTGTTATTTCAACCACTACTTAGACATTAATGAACTGGACAAAGGAAGTAGATAAATAACACTGTTCAGAGAGAGTGATTTTTTTTCCAGCATGAATTGCCTTGTGCTTCCAAACCCTGACATTTTCTTACTTAGAGATGGGAGTATTACGCCAACATTGGCCCACGAAGAAAAGAAGTCTATAAGACTTCAGTCTCTGCTCAGAGGTCCCCAAACACTCCAGCCTGAACCACTGCAGAGTGGCATGGAGTGCTTACCCATGCTGTGAGCTGGATGCTTCCACAGCACCTGCAGTCAGCTGATGGGCAGCAGTTCCAGTCTCTCCAGTGCGCTTAAAGCCAGCTCTTACTCCAGTCACTGCTGGCATCATGGTTTCTGCTCATGACCCAGGTGATACAGGGAGTGCAGGGATTAGGGAAAGTAAGAAAACAGAGCTGACATACAGATGACAGAAAGGTGACACCATATGTATGCAGTAAGGGAGTGGGTGTCCAGAAACACAGAGATGGGATCCCAGCACGGGGAGGTGAAGGTCAATGTCAGAAGGCTGGGAGAAGATATCTGAACAACTCCCAGCTCTCTGTATCAGGTCCACCTCTAGTAAAATGGGTAATTTCAATTCCTGTAAACACTCCCTCGTTTCTCACACCAAAAAAATAACATGAAACTAATCTTCAAAGCAGACAGGCCAAGGACTGTATGAGGTGCCTGTTCCACTGTCTCCTGTGAAGCTGAACTTTCCAGTGCACTGGCAGAGACACCAGCCCACACCGTATCTGTTCTGGACTGCAAACACAGAGGAGGAACTGGCTGCTTCACTTTCACTGAACAGCTGTCACAAGTGAAAATAAAGCTGCTTGTGGTCTGAGTCAAATGCAAAGTAAATGCCTCTCCACAACCAGGGGAAAGACAAAGAAGAAAGGGTGACTTCAGCAGAGGCCTGCAGTGCTGCTTCCAAGCAGAAGAGGCTTGCACTGGGCTCCCGTGCCCAGAAAGGAGCTGTCAGTAGATCTTGCCCACAACACTTGGCCCTACTTACACATGAGAACAAGATTAATTTAGTTTCTCCCTATCAATGCAATTAAAACAAACTTTCTATAAGTAACTTTCCTGTCACAGAGAGGAATGACACATATAGGCAGGAGAGGGAAAGTGGCTTTTTTTCACCTTCCCTTTTTCATTGGAGGGAACAGCAGGATTTAAGCTATTCAGCTCAATACTGTTCCTGGAATTACTCTAGTATGTCCAACCAGGGCATTGCAAGTACAGACCTGGTCTCAAAGACCTTGTCCTCTGCGTATAAGGTGGTACATTTTACAGACTAAATCCTCATGTAAACAAGTCCCAGTTGTTGCAACTATGTTGGAAGGCAATTTAATTATAAAGTCACTTCAGTTCCATTTATTTCTTATTCTAGAAAAATCCGGACAACTAGCCCAGTATCTTCAACCACATGAAACAAACAAAACAGTTTTTTTAAATGCAAGAAGTCCTTGCCGGCAGAATGTGATTATAGTCTTGATTAAAAAACCACAATATGTTCCTTGTACCACCTTGTCCATATTCTCACATATTGACTTTTTTCTTCCCAGATGGATGTATCATTGCCTTTGGGCAGGTCCATCCCCAACTCTGTGCCCTTTGCAATTTCTATCAGTTGGTAATTTGAAAATATTTTCTCATCAAATGTTAAAAATGGATTGATGAACTAAATGACAGTGAAATAACAAATAGTAAAGCAGCAAGTCCCCAAATCTTTCAAATCTTAACATCCAACCATCTTGATAAAAAGCCTGTCCTATCAAAAAGAAGGAAAAAAAACTCTCTGAAAGTACAAAGAACATATTTATAAAGAATTAAACTACCGAGCTTAATAAAAACAGCACACCATGCAATAAGAATGAAAGTACTTTGCCTCTCACTCAGGCTGTGCAGTTTTCCGGTTCACTGGCAGAGCTCAAAGACCACTAGTTTTCACCTGCATTGCATTTAGTCTGTATTTTTGGTGCAGATCTCTAACAATGAGACCAGAAGAGAAAGAAGAAAAAAAATCCCCTTCAACCCCTAATCTATTTTTCCATCGTCACCTACTCAGAAAGTACAAGTATAAAAATATGCAATGGTGGAAAAACCCATCACACAATAAAAAACAACCCACAGGCCAAACTCATCTGTGAAGTAACTAACCACAGCGCTCTTCATACTCCCACTGCTGGCTTCTGCCATCTTCAGCCCTTCTCCACAGCTTCTTCTTAAGTCAAAAAGGTGATTCTGATTCTCTTACCCTACAGTGGTGACTGTCTCACTCTCTGTGCTGCTCAGCTAAGCTATATCTCAAAGCAAACTACTGACTTCATATAGTCTTTTATTATTTAGGACATATGGCAGGAAAAACAGTTGCTGCTCTAAGAAATCAAGCTTGGCCACAAAACTAGCCATGTGAAAATTCTAACTTTTAAAATGCTTATGCTCTTCCTTTTTTTATGAGAGGGAATCTGGCAGGTTTACTTCTAAGAACCTCCTAGCTCTGAATCTTTACAAATTACACTGCCCCCCTCCTTCCCCCCAGATTATTTCCATATTACTTCGAATTTTAATTAAGTAGAAATATTTTATCTGGAAGCTGGAATTGTTCAGTAATCAATGACATGTAATTTAGTTTTTTTTTTCATAGCACAGTCATCAAATTATACTTAGCAAACAAAGCAATTAAGCTTAAACCTCTACTAATCCCCGGTTAAAAAAAACCAACAAATGTGTTATGTGCCAACTTGAGATTACACTAAACAGGCTGCACAATTCAGTCATCATCATCAAGAGACCAAAAACTGCCAGTTATAGACTCCAGGTGCAAAGTTCTGATGGAGTCAAACAGTGAATGCAATAGAAAGGGATTGAGCCCACTTCTCATTTTGGACAACAGAGTTTATTTCTCTCTTATGCCCCAAAGAGGTGAGTTTTCACACTTTTTTGTTTATAATATTTATGTCTTTCATTGTACACATTCTGGGTGATTTTTATACAGTTAATCTGATATTAGAACAAGATTAAGGTGCTTTTTGCTGTCTTTTTTCCAGTCATTCATTATTTCCATTGAGACGACTGCTAGAGCTCTCATCTTCAACATGCAAACCACTAGACAAATAGAGAACAAAAAGATAGTTCCTGACCTAAAGATCTTCTTTTCATGAGAATTACAGATTACAAGTCTCTTAGCTGCTGCTGATTATTTCCCACTTACAAAGAATCTTCCCTCAGGGATGAGGGAAAATACACCAAAATATGTGACAGGCCAGAAAAACTGTGAATAAATAAGGACTTGGAGTATTCTCCATAAAACATTACAAGTTTTTTCAAAAAAGTAATGTTAACCATTATTCTACCCCCAAAAAATCAGCAGGGACCTTTATACAGATCAAAATTTAGGAAGGGTTCACCAGAGAACTGGAGAGATGCTGGTTTACTTTTAATCCCACACCAGGATGCCTACTGTTACCAATGTGTTTTATACCAGATCTCATTCCCTCATTGAACTCATTGGTGAGTTCATGTCAATTCTCTTCTGAGTTAAGAATGAAAAACACACATATGCTAGTACTGAGACTCCTGCCTGATGACCTAAAGGAGGAATTGACATTAAGAAATGAAAAAATCCAGCTGGTCTGATTTCTTGCCAGACAATCTACCAGCCATGACCAAAACAATCAGGTCTCAGGAGATCTGTAGAGGTGGGAAGACAGCTGGTGGTTTACAGCACCTGAAACAGGGCCCAAATCAGGGAATTGTGGAATTGAGAGCCTTGGGAACAGATATTTCTTTTTCCTGGTGAAAATGTTCTGCCTCTGTCACCTGACAGCACATTAAAAAATGATGAGTTTCCAGCCCTCTATCATTGCTGCAGTGCTACTGCAAATGACAGAACAAGTAGCGAGTTGGTGGGAGGGATGGTGAAGAACAAGTAGGAGAAATCAGTTAAGTCAATTCCTTTCTGTAACTGAGGATAAATTTTTTACCCCTCAGCTAAATGTCCTTCCCCTAACAGCAGTCTTTGAGAAATTCCCTCCTTTTCTAAAATCTACAATTATACTAATTTGCACCACTCCGTATCCAGAGTTCTTTCCCTCACTGCTCGCCATTAAAACAAAGCAGCTTCTTCTTTTGAACCTCTCCTATGCAGTCACTTCTTCCTGTCTCTCCAAAACTAGAAAATAAAATCATAAACCATTGAGCTAAGGGAGGAAAAAAAAACCCCAAACAACCCAGATCTGGAATTTTGCCTGCCTGCACATATAAAGGATGCATAGGTTAAAAAACAAAGCTTGCCCAATCATGGCATCTGGCAATGCTAGGGCCCTGTGATCCAGAAAATGCTTTTAATTATCACCTCACCAATCATGCTACAAGTTATTGCTGTAATTTTTTTGCTTAAGTTCCCTCAGGGAATTAAACAGATCATGATATTAATCAGAAGGTATGTAGGAGGGAGGGGGCAGAATGCTAGAATTACATGTATGTAGGTCCCTTAAGGCTTGAATAAAGAAAAGAGATTTAGAATCCCACTGTCAGAGCAACTGAAGCCTCGCATGCTGCAAGCCTCAGCCTTCTGACCTACACAGCCATGGCATTATCTTATCTGACTTTCCCAGGATGGTTAATCTCAGCTGCTGAAGTTCATCAGCCTCTGCTAGTGTTTACCCATCATCTGGACTTGCCACTTCCGAACTTTCCAGACTAGAAGTGAATAAGCCCGCTGTCACACTCACCCTGCCAACATAGCCTGAAGCCTGGAAGCCTAAATGTCTGAATCCCAGAAAGGCAGCACAAAAGCTAATACAGCTGGGGGCAGGTGAGTGAGATAAAGCTCTGAAACTGCAGTGAGTTTCAGAATGCAGTTAACAGCAATATGGTCGTGTTATAGGATGCTGTGGTCTGAGAGGCAGATAATTCCCACAGTCTACATTTTTTTTTTCCATAAAATATGTCTTGGTAAAGAAACAGTGTCATGGCAATTTAGCTCTCATACCCAGGAAACTGTCACAGCGCAGGCAAAAGCAGCAGCACTTCAGCCTGCAAATGAACCTTAAATTCAGAGTCATGGTGTGGAAGGGTGATGGGGGTAGGAGGGAGAGAGAGTCCAGTTGCACAATGAGTTCTCCACCCAAGTGGCCAATGAAAGCACCAATTAGTACTAACCTACCAAGGGTGTTCCTGACACAGCTGCCCATCTCTTAAGGAGCGGGCTGATGGTGTGTGCCTACATGGCAGACAGAAAAGGACAGTAGATACATATAAGCTAGTTTTCAATAGCACTAATATCTTCCTAGGTAAATATATTCTGCTAAGGAGCCACGAAGAGCATTGTGCTGCTACAGTCGGGTCACTGCCAGCACCTGAATTTCCTCAATCAACACTAGTGCTGACAGTCAGCCTCCACTGGGGTGGATTTTCTCAATATACTCAGCATAAAATGTCTAAACAAATAACAATTTCTGATCACAGCCCAGTAATGTGGCTTTGAACTAGTGAATTAAGCTATATGTCCTTTTCACTCCTGAGCACAGGAGAGTATTTTGGTAGTATCTTTTACTTTTAGTAGTAGCTTTCCAAGTAATTTTCAAATTTGGTGAGTGACAGCTTCTTTATACAGAGGGTTGAAACATGCAATAACTAAAACTCCACAGTGGGGCTGATAACCACAAGGACTATGTTTAAAAATCAGTGTTAAATAGTACTTCAGGTTGTTATCGCAATTCAAACTGAAAAAACTGCTTTACTTTGCATGATGACCACCATAAATTGTTTGAAAATTTAGCCTTCGGCATTCTTACCACTGCTCCCATACATTACAGTTGCAAGAATTCCCTCTAGGTGTAAATATAAACAACAATCTTAGAGCTGTAAAGCTTGGATCATGAGCCAGAGTTATCAAAACTGAAATTCCAGAAGGAAGCAATCGTCCTTCAGCCTGCAACATGGAAACAGAGGCCAGCCAAACATTTGGGGGCTAGAGATGACTGTTTGCAAATTACAGCTGTTCACATCTGGAGTTCAGATTTGGCCAAATGCTTAATACTATCAATCACAAAAGCTGAACTGGAAGAATGTTTTGCTTGTATGACTAAGAACATAAAAGTTAGAAAATATTAAACGTAAAAAACCGCTATGTGCAATTTCAACTCTGCCTTTCAAACACAGAACAATGGACTCAATTATTTCTCAAAATGAGTATCATCACAGTTGACTGTGGCATTTCTTAACTGGTATTTAACCACAAGTCTGCACTTGCCAATACAGGTTTCTCTGGCTCTATCTATTTCTCAGCACAGAGCAGTTTGTAACTCAAGATGAAGGATGCAGCCTCTTCTCTGACAAAGTATCTTTTTGGCTAGCCCAGCAAACCCTACATATAGACCTAGCAGATGTATCTGAATACTCAGAGTACCTTCAAAACACAGCTTGGAGTAGCTTTCTCCAACATAAATTAATTGGGCACTTTCACATTTTTTTTGTTGCACAGCCAACATACCCCTGTACAGAAAATGTGTTCCCTCTCAACAGAAGACGTATGACAAAACATTTCAGTACATGTACAGTACAGGACTCAGTGTTCAGAACTGACTCATCTCCAAAGCTGAAAATACATATATATTTATGTACTTAGGCACACACACACACAGAGGCAGTATAAAACATGCAGGATGTTAAAATGACTGACGATTACAGGGGTCTGGCTTCACTCTCTAACTGACGCAGATTTTCCAGGAGTTTCCCAGCTAGTCAGTCCCTCTCTTCACAGCACAGCTGCCCATCCTGCAGCAGAGGAGGGAGGTATACGCTTTTTTCCTTCGTCTCATTCTCAAAAAGAAATGACTTACTTTATCTGAATTAAGCAAATAAATTCAATTTTGGCAACAACCAAGACTGGAAAATTTCATCCCAATAAGCTTTTCTGACTGAAGACAGAGGGTTAGAAGGGAAACAGTTATACAGCCTTAAATATAGGAGGTTCCTTCCGTTCCTGCTGTAATGCAAAATATTCCAAGATGTGCCAAATTTTCACGGTAGTCTGCATCAGGCAGCGACAAGACCCCAGAGTGCTCTGTGGAGACTAATGCATAAATCCAAAATGATCTTTTGACTACAGTGACTCTTCTCTCCTGAGATGTATTAAATTTTTTAAAGTCAGTGAAAAATAAAAAATTGCAAAATACCACTTTTAATCCTCGGACTATAAAATGGTTGAATCCTCCAGAGGCCAGTCAGGGCCAGAAACAATTTTTTTTTTCCCAGATTTGGGGGGGCAGGGGGAGGGCAAAGGGAAAGGGAGAGAGCAAAGAGTGGTTCGTTTCAAATAGCAACATTGTCCAAAAGGGTGAAAGGGAACAGATGGCCATGGAGAATGCAGCCTCAAAGCCCTAAAGAAAAGGGCTATTTTGACAGATCTCGCTGTTTTCTATTCAAGCATGAACACTCTGGCATGGAGAGTTAAGACGATACAAGGAACAACCTCTGTTCCCAGCAACTGACTATGGGCAACTGGCCTCTGAAGCTCTCTGAGAAAAACAACATGAGACAGACAGACAAACAGATATGGCAGCAAGCCCAGATCCCAGCCACCCGGAAAGGGAAAAAAAATAACCAAAAACAAAACCCCAAAAAACCCCCCAAACATCAGAAAGGCTAGAAACAGCTGCCTCTTCCTGGCTCCAGCACAGAGCATTAGAAGGAGCCTGTCCAGCCTTTCTCGTCTTCCTTTTCGGTAAAAACTTCTTGAAGGGGTCACCCTCAAGCTGTTGGTCTTTGCCCTGAGGGGAGGTGAAAAAGAGGACAGACCAGAGCTCAAGTCTGGCTCAATGAAACCTGCTTCCTTTAATCACAAAGACCTCCCTCCAGCAAACTATGAAGAACTCTAAACATAAAAACGCATAATTAATGCTGGGTTTTTGCATGCAAAAAGGCTGAGAAATTTGAAGTTGTGGCTCTCACAGTATCTGCAATTTGTTTGCATAGAATCCAGCAGAAAGCCATTATATCTGAGGGCAGGGAAAATTGTACCTACTGTGGGAAACATTGCTAACGTGTGTCCTGACTTTTCTATTAATCTTACCAAGAGAGTGCACCAACAGCTGTTTCATTCACCAACTCTGGATTGCTGCTACCACATAGAGATTTCAGTTTTGAAGGACAGCTTCGTGTCCACATCCAAAATTTAAAGAGGAACCCGAGCCATTAACGGTAACCAGAGTTCACTGTTTCCAAAGTCCATAGAGCAAGGGATGAATCTCAGTTTGTGAATTTCTCTCTGATTTCCTGTATAATTTTTATGCTTAAGGCAGAGCTTGAGGTACTGCCTGTTTCCCAGGCAGAGCTCACCTGTGGGCAGAAGCACTGAGCATGGATACCTTTCCTTTTCACTGTAGCGGGGACCAGAGCAGCGGCAGTTTCACACTACAGTTGCAGGGAGGGAAAGAGGGGGTATATGGTATAAACATTAACTATCTTCACAATCCTTCCCTGAGGCGGGGAAGTGGCTATCATCTCAATTTTAATATCCTCCTTTTTAAAAATCATTGAAGGAAAAAGATAATAAAGAACTGTGGGTGCTCACATGCCAGAACTCCAAATGAAGAAATGCAAATGCTACATACTGATCCTATCTGTGCCTTTGCTCCCTCATCTGTGAAACAGCATTTGTTTGCTTTAGTCAATAAGTAGTAAAAGTGTAGAAAAATAGACACCAGGAACAAGCCACCTCAACATCCTCAGCAATTATTATTAAAACCATAGTTTTCTACAATGTGTAAATAATTTGTGGGGTTTTGTTGGTTTCAAAGGACAGCCAATGTAGTCATTACTAGTTGTAATCATTAATTAGTAACTAAATAGATAGGATCTGACTAGTGGAAGTAGTCAAACAATAAATAAAATACCTTATTTTAGGCTAAATCAGATAAATTCTGTTTATTTTCTTCTTAACCATGAGCTTCCTAAGACTGAGAAACTGCTCCAGGCTACACTAATTAAGGGAAACTCAAATGTGGATTATTGGCTAATTATTAAGAAGTATTTAACTTGTGGATTCAACTTTCTTCCCCACGTTTCCTTGAGTTAAGTTAACCTAGTACCCCATAGTTTTCATTCTACTTTTCTTTTAATGTATGAGTCCTTCTGTTCACTGCAGGAGTAACCAATAATGCTCACAAACCAATCCTGTCTTTCACGTCGCAGGACAGGTGGTCCCTCAGTATATTCCCACACATTCCAAATATTTCAAGTGTTCCACATCTGTTGTCTAAAACATTTTTAGTTCCCTGCAAGAACAGTAGGAGATGAAAACAAGAAGTTATATATAACATAGCAACTGACCTTGTATGCCACATGAGCTCTCTGTCATTTCAACAAGATTATAAATTTCAAAAAAGAGTTCAATCTTAATTCGTTATACTATACAGCTATCTTGCAGAGAAGATAACTTGAGAATTAACTTTTGACAGCTGTAATAGCCCAAACAATAAAACTGGATCTAGAGATGATCTTCCTCCCCTCCCCCTGCAAAGATTCTGCTGATCTAGAGGAAATTTTTAAAAATTAAAGAATTAAGGTGATTCACACATTTTCTCACTGTAAAAACCCCTCTATCTGCTTAAAAAAATTCATCAAATATTATACATACATCTCCTATGTATGTATAAACAATCTTGGTGGGATTTTTATAGGAGTTTAGTGTTGGCAGCACGTATGGAAACACTAGATGCTCTCTCTTTTTCCCTACAAGAATGAATCTAACCCATGTACTTTAAAATCATGGCTGCAAGTATTTCTTCTCACTAAACAGAGCCACTGGTCAAGATTTGAGGCTAGGAAATTCGAAGTAATTCAAACTACTTGCAGCTTAACCAGTAGGCTACTGATAGAAGGCAGAAGATAACCGCCTGGGCTGTGCTGGGGAGGGGTGCTGAGGGTTGGCTCTCGCTCAAAGTGCTGTGGATGGCAGCAGCCACCAACAGCTGGGAGTGTGGTTTGCATCTCAGGCAGAACCAGCACTGCAGCCCCACTGGGCCCTGGCTTGTTACTGACTGTAACAGGAGACTGGCCCGTGCTGCAAGGCCAATGGCATTTCCAAGGCAATGACATTCTTTCAAGGACTTTGCCAGGACAACCACTTGTGTCAGTTAGGAAAGCTAATGTCTCATCATACCAGATACTAGCGGTACAAACATGACCACCAAAACCATGCAACAGAAACAAGTGCTCAGTCCTTTGTTGCTGGTGTTATATCTATTCAATTAAAAAGAAACCTTCTAGTCTGAGCTACACTGAAATGTTGTAGGGGATCCCTGTGTGAGAGACCTCAGGACCACGCCTCAAGGCAAAGGATGCCACTGTGTGACCATGTTCAAATACCAGAACACAGAGTAGATGTCTCAGAACTTCCCATGGAGCCAGGACTGAAACTTAGGAATTTAACCAAACTTGCCCCAATTAGTTTTGGAAGAGAGGCTGCCTTTGTCCAGCCCTAAACCAACACTGTCTGCAAGGCCCAGTTTCTCAGCAGTGCATAATGGCAACATGATGCTGGATATGAATGAGGATATAGACACCTTCACCAGAAACACAACTGGATGTATAGTAACAGGAACAGACCCACAAAGAAGAGGATTTTAGGGGCTTTTGTAAAAGCAAAAAACTCAGACTCACTCATCATAAACTCCAGATAGGCTCTGACATCCTCTTAACCACTGCAAGAACTGGAAAGACAAGATAAAAGAAAGAGGGACAACCGTACTGAGGATCATCACTGGGTGTCACAGCAGAAGCCAGAGAGATGAGAACTGTGGGAGTTCCACTCAACTTTTAAATCCTACCTTTCAAAAAACATTTCTGAAGCAGACATGTTAGCATGCTTAACTCTGCAAAACAAGAGGCTGACAGTGGCTGAAAGACCACTGAGAAATTAGACTAAACTTGCATTGAAAAGCTGCTCTGTTCATGTAAACGAAAGATGATAACAAAGATTTGCAGGAAGTACTATGTCACACCGTCCTAGCCTGGAAATAAACAGTCCTATTAAACACATAAAAATAGTACCATATGTCACGTGAGAAAAACAATACCCTGGTCTTGTACTTTCACCAAGGAATGGCTGCTTGGCTGATGACTATGCCAGCAGCACCCTGCAAGGACTGCTCCCTATGTTGTGACACACTTCCATCTTTTGTATACTCCTTCTGCTCTGAACTTCTGAAGATTCACTAGCAGAATTAGAGGTGACTTGCTAAGCTGCACATCCAGTGATATGAAGCATGTCTGTTTTCCAGCATAACCTAATTGCCAGAAAGTAAAGCAACTTTAGTCATTGAACAATTAAATAATTCCAGGCATTTCTACTTCTTACCCTTAATCCATCCTCTCCAAAAAGCAGCACTGTGATTTCACTATCTGTCTTGGAATCAATAAAGCAAACTGACCTCTGCTTTTAGAAAGCAACACCATGGGCAAGTTCATTTAGCCTGATGTGACAAAAGAGACATACAGTGGGGAGATCATCTATTCCACATAGCAAAACCAAGTAACTGCTGTACTTCCCTCTGTACTGAGCTGCCCATCCTACCTTAGGATAAACTCCATTATTTGATTACATTACACTTTGAAACAATTCAAATTTCTTCACACTTAGGCTAGGATGGATATGCAAAACAAGTAACTTGAGTGCTGTGATGGAATACAATCCCTGGAGAACGCCACATGTGTTTCTCAAGCAGAACTTGTACCGTGGAGTCCTTGACTTTGAAAAGCAAATGAACAAGAACAGTAATTAAAATGCAAATGAACAAGAACTGTAATTAAAAAGCAGAATAATTATGAGATCAACTTTGTTACCAAGTAACAATACGATTAAAGATAATATACTTGCCATACATAAGAAAGGACTAAATATGGACTAAGTAATGTGTTAGTGAATGTGGTTGAACAACTTGACCTTCCTGTGAAGCCAACTTTGAATTTTGCCCTTACAGGAGGTCCCATAAAAGCTCTGCACTGGTAGAAAGTTTCTGTAACTGCCAGAAGGCTACAAGTGGCCTAGGTGAATGGAATGTGAGATTCAGGATGAGCTCACAATAGCACAGAGTCATCTCACAGAGCCTTACATCCAAACTCATGCATGAAGTAAAATGTCAACAAAAAGCTGGAGGCCCAAATGATGTGGAAAGACTGATTTCCTCCATAAAACGGGGTTTGGGGGAGTAGAAAAATCTATTTATTACCTGCACATTTTCAAGACAGGAGAAAAGGACAAAATTGCTCTTTGAATGTGCTGCACGACAAAATACAACTACCTTGCCATCAAGGCACAGGAGACCTGGAAAGTGTATAGTGCCATGACACTGGATTTTCTTAGAAAAAAGCAGGCATTCTTTTCTGAAGGGCAGTGCCCAAAACCATTTTATACTTGCTGGATGGATGCAAGTTAGTGACAGTTTAGGGAGCCTAGTTTGGTATCACTCAGGTAAGACACGACTGTGCTCTACATATTCATTTGCCGTATACTTTACATATTCAATAATTCTAAACTGAACAAGATTCTTCATTTAATTATAATGCTATAATCATGATAAAAAGAGAACTCTTTAGAAAGCAGTAGTTAGGAAAGTGCCTTGTGGATACTGTTGATCACCACAACACTCAATAACATCCTCTACTGTCAGTGGGGGTGCACATGATCTGAGGCACCTTGCATGTTACTATCTTAGACAGACAGAGCTTTCAGCCAGACATAAGTAAGGTCTAGATATTTGGTACCTACTGGAGACCAGCCATTCTTGAAAGTCTTTTATGCTGGTCCTAACAAACGCACCTTAGTTCTTCCAGCAAAGTAACTACTGGAAGAGGTTTATGATTGCTCAAACTAGATAACCAGACTAGACTGTTCTTTCCCTAACTTCTTTTTTTTTTCAGTAAGAAAAACTAATCCTCAAAACAATTTGTAAAAAAATCCTGAGTGAAAATGAAGCATATGAAATTAAATAGCTGGTTCTGTAGAAAAGTAAAAGGATTTCCATAGTTTATTTTGGAACAATATGCAGGTATAAATGTTGATCTTGCTACTATGAATTTAGGTAAAGTTTATAGTATATGGTCCGTTTAAAACTGAGGCTGTGTAACTATATCAACATGTAGTTCTGAAGTCAGTCAACAATATCAAGCTATTTTGGAAACACAGAAGAATTTGATAAGAGGTTCACCTTTAAGATATTCATCTTTTCAACTTAGAGAAGCAAGGTTTATTGTTAAAACGACAGCTCGTGCACCAAAAGTCAGAAAATGGAAGTGCTCTCCTGTATTTGCTCACTTTAAAAAGGGGAGGAACTTGGATTCAAAGCTTTGTTACTAACTGCAGACTTGTACTACAGCTTTCTAATTTCCCCCTGTGGACAGGTACATGCACTCAGCTTCTCCTGAAGGTAGCAGGATTTTCAGGAACACCTTTGGTTGCAAATTTGGGCTGAGTTTTATACCTGTAGTTTCCAGCCTTTGCTGGTGAACAGAAGCATATCAACAGCTTGCAGCCATGGCTAGCCTACATTCATGACCACTGAATCAAATGAACAGCTCATATATTCTACACCCCAGCTGATTATGCTGGCAATATTTTCTGACCAGAGCCAGTAAAAAAAAAATTAACCCCCCTGATTTTTTTTTTAATTTTTTAAATAAAGCATATTTAAAGAATAAATGCTTTGTGAAAACCTGTACATGCCAGTAAATCTTCTGACAGACACAGGCCATGCTGATACGTGCCAAGCAGATTTCCTGCTGAACCTTCCAGCTTTCCAGCCCACTCTCGGGCAGCCTGCCCAAAAAACAGCCTTGGACCAAGGGCCTAGGACTTCCAAGGAAACAGCTTAGGCAGTGTAAGAATAGGGAAGGGTATCCATATTCACATATTTTTCAAAAAATATGTTGCAACTCTGAGTAGACACTTAAATCCTTGTCTTCCCAATCCAAAGTTTTCTGGAAACTGAGGAATTATTACACAACAAGGAATATAATTTACCAGCCACTCCTATTACAAAGAACAACAGTCTTAATCCTTTACTGGAAAGCAGATCAACTGCCTTTCAATTACTCTTCCCTTTTCCTTCCCTTCACTCCACTATGAAATTTTCATTCTTACCTGGAGTTGTACTGTAATCTAGGTCATCTGGCCAGTCTCCTACTCTAACATCTGGTCATTGTTGGCTGGGACAGTGCACAAAGTCCGTTCAGACTATAACCAAATGAATTCCAAGAAGGAAGAGGCAATTTGCAAGACCAACTTACATTATCAAAGATCTGACAGAAATTGGGGAACAGGGGCTCATCTCTGATAAATTATCAACCCTTACCTTTGCTTATATGCAGACAATGTACCCCTAGAGTACCTTAGAAAGAGCTGGTAATTATTGGTATGAACTGGTACCTACCTCCATGATACTTAACCCTAAATGTGGACATATTTTGTACATGATATATGGGGGCAGCTATGGCTCAAACACATTTGTTGCCATTCCAAGGTTACAGTGGCAGAAACAGCATAAAGCATGGGAAGAGGTGCCCAAATTCATTGTGATACTAATAAACTTTACCACTTTTCCTGGTATGTCCCTAGTCAATGTTAATATAAGACAAGCACTGCCAAAGAAAAACAAATTATTTGGCTGGGCTTGCATGATCAGGTTTTTGAATTTAGCCAAGAAATGTTATATCCTATCTCTTGTAAGAAGTGCCACAGGAATTTCAACTAGTTCAAATGGTGAAAATAACAGACTTGTGTTTCATGTGAAATACAGTGCTTCAGCAAAAAGAGTGCCTCTTTATGTCACTCCAGGTGACTGTCTTAATGCTAATCTAGCAGAAAATAAGATGCTTACTGAACAACCAGCATTATTATTCTGTGCACAAAAAAAGATTATCATGATAATTCCAGCCCAATCCTACTTTATTCACAAGACACAGCAAGATAAGAGCTAGAGGCAGCACAGTCACTTGTCTGTTAACACTCACAGCTGACTATAGCAAGAACACATTTATGAAAAATTGAAATTAGTCATTCTCCATTGGCTTCTCTAGACTTTCTCTTCAGAAGCAGTGACTTATTTAAGCAATAACTTCGGTGAAATGACAGAAGGTACAGAAAGAGTTTTCAAACACCAGTAAGATTTAATTGCATTAGTGTGCCCTCCAAAGGCACTACTGTGGGGTTAAACCTACAGTGATACAGAATGTTTTGCTTTATTAGTGGCAGTATCTTCACAGAATGGAGACTGGAATTGAAAGCTGTGGTCAGTGGCAATTGCTGTCAGTGCAACACACCTCAGCTTTAGTCTTCCCCTTAACAACCAACATACAGCAGTAGTGCTGAGTTTGGCTAACACAGCTGGGTGGTATCTTGTCAGTCCAAAGAGAGACAGAAGAGTAAATAAGGCACTGTAAAGGAATTTGCCACACCAGTGTCTTGTCATATCCAAAGCAAAATGCATGTAGTATATGAATCAATTCAGAATGTAATATTAAAAATGAAGGTATGTATTGGCTGCAAAAGAGCCAAATTGTTCTCATTCTAGCCATTATACTGCCTGGGCTTTTTCCCTAGAGAAAAACATCCATGGAAAAAAAGAAAGAAAACAAAGAGGCAGAGTGTTTCTAGCACTACCCCTGCACTCTCGGGCCATCCTTTCATTGCCTACAACATCAAGCTCACCACCTGCAGGAACAGGCAAGGAGAAATGAACTCAGGTTCACTTACTGCACAGAACGCTGCAGTGAAATATATATGTAGAAACTTACCCATTCTCCTGTAAAACTGAGTGCTTTCCAGGCCAAACACAGCAACATATCAGACTTAGAACACATCAAACAGTTAGTGCTAATATTTATATCAGTGTTGACAATGACTTTAGAATTGAAGAATTCAGCTCATTTCCATGCTAAATTTGGTGTTGCCTTCAAAACCATATACATAAATTAGGTACATCAATGGAAAATATCAAGTCTTTTTTGCTCCCACAACATAGCACTGGTATTTCCATCAGTGTTCTTGAATCTTAGTAATTCTTTTCTAAAAACAATCAGCCAAAAACTATGTTTCTCTGTAAATGTGTTAATGTTTTACTGTTTTAAACATTTTTTTCAAATCAATGTCTTTTACAGCTCCATCTGTAATCTCATCTGTAAGCAGATGAGTATTTCAAATTTTACATACTCTGACTCGAACTTTATTTAAGAGAAAGAATGATGAACATAAAACAAATCTGACCATATTTGCTGGAAGAGTCCATGCATAAAGTTCCTTTACACTCTCTACAGCACACAAGTCACTTCTTTTAAGTGCTGTACTTGAGTCTGTAATTCAGTATCTGCTTAGCAGCTTCACAGCTGTACTGCTTAGCAGCTTGGGCTAAGAAGTGAATCAAACTGTATTCAAAAACTGGTATCTACAAGCCAGGAAAAACCCAGAATATATATGTATGTGTGTGTGTGCAGAACAATGCAGTGAACTCTGTCCCAAGGGTGACTCATTACATTGAGTACCTATCCAAAAATTCAGCAAAAACTTTGTTACAGCAAGACATTTATAACAATACAGAGTGATTATTAGACATCTGCCACAACAGCAATAAGGAGGGTTTGGGGGGGTGAGTTAGGTTTGGTTTAGTCTTTCTGGGTTTTTAAATTTTTTTTCTTTTTTTTCTTTTTTTTTTAATTAAGTGTGTAACTATAATGCAGGCACTTGCCCTACATTGCTGCTGTTTCTGGATTTTTCTTTTAAAGTTATGGATGTGAAATTATCCTGGAAAACCTAAAGCAAAGTTCTTTTGAAAAGTAGTTTCATCCAAATAGAATCATACCAAATAAAGCCATAAAATCAGAGACTAGTCTAAGTACACTGTAATGAGCCCTCAGATTAAATGAGTTTGCAATGAGTTTTAAGACACAAATAAATTCTGTGTATCTTTTGGGTTTTCTGGCAACCACATCACACAGACTTGGCTATTACCCATATAGGAGTTTTGCCACATTAATGGAATTAA